AAATTAATGCCTAAAACTGGAGGCTTAAAATAGCAATTAAATTTCATTATGAATCCATAAAACTTGTTAAATTAGAAAAGATCCAGTTTGACTGTGATAAGAAACAGAAACTAAGGCTCACTGGCAGTGGTAGTGTGGATAGTGTACAGTAAGAGTTTAAACAATACAATCTCATGCACTAGTAAGGAGGCTTCTGAGCATTCAAGGCATTTTTTCTTTTTTTCTTTTTTTCCTTTTTTTTGTCTTTTTCCTTTTTATCAGTACCAGGGATCAAACTCACGACTGCCTGCTTGCAAGGCAGATGCTTATGCTGCTGAGCTAAATCCCCAGCCCCACAAGGCATTTTTTCAAATCTTGCTTCCACAGAAGCAAGTCTGAGAATGTTCTTTGTGGCACCTATAACAGTGACATCAGTGGAGAAAGCTGCACTCCCATAACTGTGCAAAGGCAAGTAAAATGCTATGGAAACAAACACTGGAGTCTCTGGGATGGATTACATCTACATACAGCAGTGTAAAAATGCAAAAAGTAATATTGAAAGAATTAAAATACAGGATGAACAATCTAAAACATTCTAATTTGACCACTAAAATATATACATGAGATTGGAGTGCAACTCAATAATAGAGCACATGTAGAGGGCTTATTTGTATCTATGGTCTATAGCCAGTGAAAAAATGTACATGAAGCCATGGGGTATATTCTAATCAAGATGATAAGTTGTACAATATAGAAAGACAATTTATCTGCAGCAGGTTCCTCAAGCACAGTACTAGTGATACTTAAGCCCAAGATTTCTTTCGAAAAAGGTCTGTATTTCTTCTGTGACACTGTTCAGCATCTTTGACTGCCACTCCTAAGATGCTTCTAAATATTCCTCATGACCTATATCATGATTACAAGAAAAAAGTTGCAACATATTTATAGGTTTTCTCATGTGCAGAATTAGCATTGATGAAAATGACTGATGCAGATGCAGTGGACACAGCTCCTGAATGACCAGTTACAAGAATGACCAAAGACACAAGACCTGCCACATTTCTACCTCTGCACCCCAAACATAGGCTCAATGAGTCTGTCCAAAGTACACTCTGCTTGTTTTTGTATGCCCTCCTCTTGTCCTTATCACCTGCACTACACATCAGATGTCACTAGTGTGAAAAGCAACAACAGCCTCCACTGTTTCACGCTTTACAATGACAGCCACAGGAATTTTCAGAAAGACTAAATTCTGCCATGAACTGAAACTGGTGCTGTATCTCAGCTGTGTGACACACCCTTTCTATAGCCACCTGCAGTATACCCATATAGAGTGAGAAGGCCAAGAGAACTCATGGGAATTTCAGAGACGGCAGTCTCTTTTGACTTATGGAACATGTAACTAAGGTTTCTGGTCATCTCTTTTCCCATAGACATATATGTCACTGCTCAGGGGAGAGAGCCTTGGATGTCATGGGACTGGACAAACATGCCTTCAGCCTATGAATGTTATAGAAATGAAACGGGCTTACATGAGCAGGTAAACTGGCATAGCAAGGCAGTTTACCCAAAGTTAAACAGTTAGAAATGTTAACAAAACCAGCATGAATTAGAACTCATAAAGTGTTTATCTTCAGCCAGAAAAATGGTTGGTGGTTTGTGTTGAAACTGCTCAGGCTCATGTCTGATCACTGAAAATCTCTACTCTATCCCCTTGTTAGGGTCATGTAAGCCAGACAGTGTGAAAAGAGTGGGGCATCTTATAAGGATCAACATCATGAAAACCACTCAAAGCAAAGAAAACAACCAAAATTCATAATGTTCCTTTTTCCAAATACTACTCATGTTATTCTTCTGATTCAATTGCTTTTGGAGAGCCCAGTTAACACAGCACTCAAAGACAGAAACCACAAGTTAAGTATCATGTTCTATAGAGGACTTTAAGAGGAATTCAAAGTATAAATCTAGTGACAGTACTGGAGTTAGAAAGACTATGATGTTAGAAAGAAATGATATTGAAAATGAAATGTGTTGAATGTGAAAGAATATAACCAATTGAGCAAACAGTACTTCTACACATTGGATTCTTTAAATCTGCTCAACACATATGCTTAATCTGAGTTTGGGGATATATAGATAACATTATCCAAATTTCATAATAAAATACTAAATTCTCACCAACTTTACTGAATATAGCCCACTGCAGTCACTAGTTGTTCAGCATCAGTGTCCTGTTGCTGAAAAGCAGTGATTCATCACTGCTGTCCTCCATCATAAGCAAGTATTATACCATGCATCACTAGTGCACAAAAACAATAAAACTGAAATAAAGTAAAATTTCCATTAAATAATTTTCCTGTATTTTTCAGAAAAGTTTTTACTGGGCCTAGGTGATGTTAAACAAGTTACTATCTATTGGAGATAAATCCCAATATTCATATTTTGTATTGAAAGAGGGTCATGCTCAATTTTTCAAGGCAGTTGTTGTATCACTTGTCCTAGTCCCCAAGTGGCTGAGAGTAAAGGTGTGAACTATCATACATCACTGATGTTTACTTTACCAAGCATTCAAATCTTGGCACATCATGGTGTATAAAAACATCCCAACCTTAAACTGATACAGTGGTACACATGTATTATAATGACATTAAATGAGTTACAAACACTATCAAAAATTCACACTACTTAGAGCTACTCAAAGATCAGTTCTCAAAATTTTTTAGAAAATTTAAAAACTCAGATTAGAGCAAACTTCCAGAGTTCAGTCCCTACAACAGCAAACAAACAAGCAGAGCAGGGTGGTGTACATCTGCATCCCAGCTCTAATGAGGCTGAGGCAAGAAGTTTTTTATGAATTTGAAGCCAGCCTTAACTACAAAGTGAAATACTGCCTCAAAAAATAAATTAATAAATTAATCATTAAGATCATCTGGAAATATTTGACACACTGCGGATACCACATTCCATTCTACTTCTGCTATGGTACCCACAATAATTTCAAAGCAAAACAAAGCCAGGCAGTTTCCTCATTTCAGATTTTGCCTCAGAGTAGATTTCATGAATTGTTCAGTAGCAGCAGAAGGCATAGTTCACTATTACTAAATTCCCTTCCTTTCTTCAAGCCTGTGACCTTTGCCCACCTCACAGAACAAGCAAGCACACAAGTCTGACTACCTAACCAAGGATACACTGCACTACTTCTATTTCTCAGGCTTCTCCCCTACTCCAGTGCTAATTTGAAAGTCTATCACAAGCAGCCTTTTTTATTTTAATAAAAGTAACAATTAGCCAAGAACTATAGCCATTAATACAGAAATTATGCCCTGGTTCTTTTCCACTCCTACACATATCACACATATATGCCCATGTAAATGCCCCAATTATCTCTCCATGCCCCAATGTCTCTCAATGTGGGTTTAATAGCGCTTCTGGAAATTGTCTCTGGCAGGTATACCTTCTCCTTCCTTTGCTAAGATTTGATCTCCTCTAAATTTTCCTCAGTATTCTAACTCTGTGGCAGAACTCATTTAAACTAATTGTGAATGGAATTGTCAGCTAAGTAATTAAAATTTTAAATTTCTTTGGCATTGCTTTGTACAGAGCTCAGGAATTCACTGGGTGTTAGGCATGTTCTCCTCCACTGCAGCACATCACCACACGTTTTTGGATTCTCAGGACATTTTTTAATATCTAATATGAGTTTAAAAATGAAGAAAGGTAATGGATATTTAGAAGATCTCCACAAAGATTAAAAAACAAAAGTTTGATTTGGGGTTGTGAGAATGAGAACCCGCATCAGAAATGTTAATAACCTTCAAATTCTCCAGCAGTGCTGCTAACAGGAATGAAACCAGGGATCTAGCTCACCACCACTGCATCCAACTCCAAGTTTCATCTAAGCCTGGATCTTCCCAAGACTCCTGCTTTTCCCAAAATGGCGCAGATAGAAATGTAGCAATGGGTTTTTCAAGAGGGCACTCAGACTTGCATTGTAACATTGGTAAAAAGGTCCTGAGAATTCCAAACTGGTCTTGTTCTAGCAATGTTGTAATCAGCTGAATAAAATAATATTATAAGGAGTCGGAGAGGACTAGGCCTCAATGGAGCCAGTTCAGAAGACCAGATATCTGGCAACAATGAAAGTAAAAACACTTTTTCCACTGTGGGCCAGATCTCAAAACAATAGACAAAACAAACAGAACCACACCCTAATATAAACACCAGGGATTGATAGTCTCAATAGAATCACCTTGAGGCAGATAGAGGCTACTAATCCAACTCCCTACAGCAAAGGCCCTCCTCTGCTTTGCAACTTTCCCTATTGGATCTCAATTTACTCAATTTTACCTGAGCAATTAACTCATAATTTTATCGACTGACTGTAATTCTGCCTGTCCCACCTCAGGCTTCTCTGCATTGCTAGTTGCCACATCCCCTACCCCCTCACCCCCGCCTTACCTTGTGGTTTTGCTGTTCTAAAATCCCTACAAAAATCGCAGTTCTCAGCCAGACACGGTGGCTCAAGCCTGTAATCCCAGCACTCAGAAGGTTGAGGCAGAAGAATCTTTGCGAGTCTAAGACCAACCTGGCTACAAAGTGAACTTAAGGGCAGCCTGAACCGCATAGAGACCCTGTCTCAAAAAAAAAAAAAAAAAAAAAAAAAAAAAAAAGACCAAGAAATATCACAGTTCCAAGAACTGTGCGTAAGTAGTAAGTTTGTAGTAAGTAGTGAGTTTCTTTCCCTTCTATCATCAAGGGGAAAAATGAAGAAAGATGAAATCAATACCCATTTCACATTACATCAGAATCTGAAGCTAACGTGGGGACCCCGGGAACCACAGTTAGGGATTGTTTTTCCTTTGGTACCAGGGTTACAACTCAGGATATCTCACTTTTCAGGAAGGCGCTGTGCTTCTGACCTATATTCCAGGCTTTAAGACACCACAGTTAGTTTGGTCCAATTCTAACTAGACCTCTTGCAGGTATTGACCCGCTTCAGTCTTCCCGTCCCCAAACATTACCATTGAGCAGTTTGAGGCTCTCCTAGACTCTCTGCTATACAGGTTGTAGCTTTGGAGGTCACAGAAAAAAGTCCATTCAGCTCCTGAACTCTTCGTAATGTGCTAGGGGCAGGAACTTTGGCGCCATGACACCGGAAGAGCCCTCCCCTTTGCCACCTCTGATTGGACAGTTTATGCAGCATTCTCCTTTTTGCATTGATTGACTTCTGTTCTGTTGCCCGCCCTAAGAGCAAAGTGGGAAAAAGAGAAATAAATCTTTACCTGCTAGAGTGGGGCTCAGGTCCAAGACTGTAATGCAGAGACTTCTGAACCAGGTTATCTTATAAAATGTTAATCTCATCTCGTATGCTTAATAACACTTGCACTTAAAGGCTTTACTCTGAGATCTCGGAGTTGACGCTATTTTCTTTTAGGACTCAGTGAACACTCTTCTTGAGCATGGGTCACAATTGTGTTCTTAGGGTTCTGTTATAGGGGAAGGAAACATCCAGCCTACTGTATGTCAAGTATGAGTTCCTGCTCTCTAAAATTAAGTTTAGGGACAACAGAGGTTAATAGTGGAATATATTCATTGAAAGATTCTGTCTGAAAAATAGAGAAGGAATCTTGAGCGGATTGCCAAAAATGCTCTTTTTAAAGGATTTATGTACGGTAACATCATGAGGTTAAGTGTGTCCAAGGAGCGGGGAAATGGGAACTCACCAGGTGGGCATAAGGCCAGACAAAACTGTGATCAACTAGTAAGATTAATGGCTCAGATAAAATTGATTAGATTTGGAACAAATAGAGTGACTCTCTTAGTAAGTGGGCACACTTAGCAGCACTGGCTGATGTTATAGGTGTTGAGATACTGACTCCTGACTTCCTCAGGGTGATAGAGAACTATTTGGACTGTTGATGCATAGGATGCAATTGTATTTGCTCTGCCTTTTGTCTTGAGATCTGGACCATAGCAAGAGGTGCTTGTCTCTTGCAAGGCTGCAATATGTCTGAACTTCTACTCTGGCTCCTTTAAGGGCTTGGCCCTGTCTGACAGCCAATAATATTTCTAACTAACTCAGCTGCCTGTAACAGATGCATGGCCAATAGTCTAGTAAAGAAGCCATTTCCCTATATCACAAAACAACTTGAGTCAAAGCCAACCCAGGACACAGCACAATAGAGGGGTAACTGGTTATTTGAGAGGTCAATATTTGGGAATGACATAACTGGCTTCATTCTGAAGATTTTTGCACTAACTCTTTCCACCTGTCAGTTTTCAGCTAATAGAATAAAGATTTGCCCCATAAGAGGAAAACAAACAGTACGATTAAATTGTAGCAATATTCTCTAAAAGAGAAAAAATTAAAAAAAAAAAAACATTTCAACCTCTTGCACACAAAATTGCTGCTCATCTAGAGTCTAAACCCACCCCATTTATTTCTGAAAATAAGCATATTGGACACTTGAGGGTTAGAAGTGCAGCTGCACTGCTCATCCACTGACCTATTGACCTATTTCTTTGGGATGAGCAGGTAATCATAAGAACATCTAAGTATAATTTTCTGATGCCCTGTAGTGTTCTCCTCACAAATTAAAATTTGCCTCTTTCAAGAAATTAATATCTTAGAAGGAACATACTGCCTTAGAAGGAGTCATGTGATACTTTTGTTAACTCATTTAGTTTAAGAGATGCATAGGATATTAAATGAGCACACTTCTAGCTCTGTCTGGTTCTTTAATGCTAGTTTGGTTGAACCCACTAACTCTGGTCCCTGGATTCTTTTTCTTTGTCTTCCTCTATACTTTCGCTCCTGAGGCTCATAAAGTAGGTATCGATTTTTTATTTCTATTTGCCAAGATGTTTCTACATTGGAAACAGCCTAAAGCAAATTGCATCTTGAAATAAGGAGACAAAATGAACTTATTTTTCTTAAGTTCTGTGGTTCAGGCAGTTCATCCCTGTAGATAAGTAACTAAGTACATAAACACACACATAAAAACCAAATAAAATTCAGTTTGGTGTTTCTGCTAAATAAATTTCCAAATACATCAATTACTTTGATCATTTAGTTAAGTGACTAATGCCTTCTAACACATCTTCAGTATGAAAAGGAGGTCACGAGAGGTATGCTCTCGCACAGTGTGTACCATTTATAACTCTGTGCTTGTCACTGCTTCCCATTTGTCATGAAGTGCCTAGGTTGCTACTAGCACAACACTGTGTAATTTCAATTTTAGGTAACTCAATTTTAATTCAGTTCAAATACTTTTAATTATTTCAATATTTCTTTTTTCTTACTTCTTTTTGTGTTTTGGGACATGGATTCAGACACCATTAGGTTTCCCAATATCCTATTTTGTAGATTCTTTTACACAATATTCAGGAATAGAAATAAACCTTGAAAAAGTTGAAATGTACAATAATATTAGCAAACAGAATTGTAGATTATCTAAATACAGAATGAATAATTACCCTTGCATGTGAAATAATATGAATTCTTCAATTTATATCTTCAGTATGCATAGCTGTTTTGAAGAGAACAAGACATTATGGTAGCCATTGTTGATTTTCCTATTGTATGGTGTTGAAGGCTTGTAATGCTTTCATTCTTCTTGTTTGATCAGGTTTCTACCATTTTGTTTTTCTTGAATTCATTTTGTGTGAAGATATAGACAACTATTCAAAGTAAAGAGGAGAGATTATGGTAGACACTGTTGAGCGCCTATTCTTTGGTTTGAAATTCTGTGTCATTTGCTTTGTTTTCTTTTGATTTACTTTATTCTTTTTTATTATGTTTTGTTCTACCTTCTTTAAAAATTATATCATCAATATAATTTTGTTTCTCATAAGAGTAAATTCATTGAAAATTGGAAAAAAACTCTTCTAAGCTCTTAGTGATACATAGAGGATAATACTATATTACAGAAATTATGGATAAAAGAAGTAAAGAAAGGAGACTTTCCCTGTGTCTGTTTCCTAGGTACCATTAAGACTCAGTTATTTCAATTGTAGCCTGGAGCAACAGACACACAAATTAAACTTAATAGAAGAATTGAGAAGTACTTCTGCAGTATTCAAAACCAAACATTGATAAGACTGCCAGTGAAAATGCAAAGAAAGAGGCTATTAATTATTCATTATGGGTAAAAAGAACTGCTTGTTCTTAGGCCAAGTACATTTCATTTCTACTGTACATACAAGGAAATAATTAATGCAGGCAGATTCAGGGCAAAATATGAAATATAAATCTGGTAACTATATAAAATATATCAGGGAAACAACTTTCTAATCTACAATTGAGCACATTTTCAAATAACATTGCAAATCTACAAAACATAAAGTAATTTTGAATATACATACATATAGGCTTTATGCACACCAAACACTATAATATTTGAAATTTGCTTTGATTGGAAAAATGTCCTGGAGTAATGATGGAATATCTAGAGCAGGGCAAAAATCTTTTTATCTTTTTTCAAAAAATAAAAATCTTCACCACAAAAATTAACAGATGATATGAGAAATTTTTTTAGGAATGTTGATGCATGAAAATTATAGGCACAAGATTAAGGAAGATAGGCAAATGAAAGTGAGCAATGGAATTTAACTTTCTATTTAGAGAGTTCATCATATTAGAAAATGGCCAGGTTATGTGGTCTAGAAGTAGATATTACTCACTACCAGCAAAGCGTATAAAGTGTGAATTAAAAATACAATGGTGGGTATTTTTAACATGCACCTGTAATGTGAGCTGTTTAGAAATCCGGGGCATGAGGATCACATGTTCCAGTTGAGTCTGAGCCATGTAGTCACACCTTGTTTTGAAAAAAATACACACATATTTTTAGGTCTTTAATTCCATACAGACTCTGTAGACCTGTAAACATACTGTGAAATGTTCTCAAATCATCTAGGTTGCCACAAACAAGATGTCTGCAGAATTTATTTGAGTGAATGAGCTGGAAAAGCCTGCTTTCCCATTGCTGGGGAGAATAAATAGAAGATGTGGTGAAGACAACAAGTAGTGACCCTGGTGTGAGTGAGGTTTACAAACAGTAAAGCAAATAAAGAGGTAAATTATATGAATTGAGAAAAGGTTTTACTACTTCAATTTGGGCAGATTAAAAATTTGAAACTGGATGTCTCAGTAAAACTCATGTATATTCTCTGAATTCTCTAGGCTTAGTAGCCAACATGATAAAGTTGAACATGAGGCAATGGCCTATAATCTGATAATGATGAGGAGCAATTGACCGTAGAATGAAGACTCACATGCACAACTGTTCCTAGTGACATGGGGTAAATATTTTCTTAGGATGGAGGTATCTCATCTGTTATGCAACACTGAACATCATACATAAACCCACCACCACCATAAGAGTCTATGGGGAACCAGGCCAAGAGCCCCTATTGTCAGTCTCAAGAATGTGGTAAGGAAAATAAAATAAAGAGAAAAGCATAATGTTTCAACCATGGCTAGGAAGTTAATATTTCTGGATCCACTTTTGTCACTCCCAAAGAAGCCACACTTTATTTGGTGTATCCAGTCATAGTTGTAGCTCATAAAGGATAACAATTCATCCTAAAAGTCAGACTCAAGAATGTGTAGATAATCTTATGCTCAAGAAATATCTTGACCATAAATTTAATCCTGAGATGATGTGTGAAGGTTTAGATGATCTAATGCTCAAAAGAGTCAGTGGGAAATCTCAGATAGGTGGTACCAATAATCCCAATTCTTCTGTTTATCCCATAGCAAAAATGTTAAAATTTGCCATTTTGAATTTGTGATCTCCAACTAGATGACAGTAAAATTCACTCATAATCTGATGTGACAGCAAAAAATATTGAAACAATGAATACATTTTGGTAAGACCATGCCTAGTCACTTATTGTAGTTAGGGGTTGTATAGAGAACAATTAGAATAAGGACATGAAGCTTATAATATTATTTTATGATGGTAACCCACAGTTAACACAATAAAATGTAGGAAGTCTATCCACATCACCAAAGACATAGAATATTTAGCCAAGGGCCTGTATCCCACAGCAATGTCTCACATGAGTCCAGATGAAGATCCAGAGCTCATGACAATGCCTTCCATGAGTCCAACTGGAGGTCTACAGCCAACAAAAAGGATTTACGCCAGTCTCTTTTATGGATCCAAGCTGGGAA